ACAATAAAGACTATAAATTATTCAGTTGCACTTTCTATACACATTCCAGAATGTTCCATTGTTACATCTGTAAACATAAAGTAGTGAATGTTGAGTAATTTAAGTACATGGTTTATAATTTTAATAGTTGTCTTATGCCCTCATTATATATAAGATATTTTTATCACTTTGTCTACTTTTTAGTGCAAATATTCTTAAATGCGTAAATATGATTGCTAAATTAATATTTGCTAATGTATTTTTTATTATAATACCGGAATTGAGAATATTTGAAGAATGCAGGTTCTCCATCCATCTTGTGTGTAGAATAGAACTTTTTTTGTAATCTTAATTCTCTTTATTTTTAATTTAGATATTAGTCTCTCTTCATCAATTTAATTGTTTCAAAAATAAAATTAATATAACTTCGAAAATTTAAGCAATAATTATAATAATAAATTTGAGTTGAAAGGACCTCTTTATTTTGTTGAAAAAAATTAAAACCAGTTTCATTGTCGTAGTGATAATTTAAAAACGTTTTTGAGATCATTATTACATTAATAGAAAGCTTGATATATGTTATTGCCACGCATGTAATTTTCATATAAAAGGTAAGAGCTAAATATAATAAAATTTTAATGAAGAATCTCACCTTTCCCACAACATTGCGCGCATGCTAGATGTCCTAAATTATCATAAGTAACTCCGTCCGTACCACAAACAGGATCGTGAAGTGCTATTGCCTATTAAATGAATGCCGTTATAATAAGTTTAATATTAAATTATTTTTCAGAAAGAGATGTAAAAAATGTTTAATAAAAAGTTATAGTTATACAGCGCAGGTCCCCAGGCATTCATCGAATTGCTCATGGCAGTTACAGATTGGATGGCATATAACTTGACCTTCTTTTCCATTGAATTGCCTATAAGCCATTGGACTGTTATCTATCTCCACTGCATCATCCGAATTCTATAACGTTTATAGCGTAAATTACACTTTTAAATATTAGACTCCGATTTTTCTTCAAAAATATTACGATATTGGATTCAGAACACTAAAATAAATATTAAAATTAAACATATAGTAGTATATATGCAAACTTTTTATTACAATTTTTTTTATATAAAAGGTTAAAATAAAAATATCATCGTTGAATACAGAACATATAAATTATTAAACTTTCAAATGATCCATGAATATGATGATATACCTGATATAAACTATAATGATATATGATATACATATATCATAGTTTATTACGTTCAGTATAGAATATGATTATATTTCAAATAACAAGAGTAAAAGGGGTTAAATGAGAGTACACTCGCTGTTGGTGCAATAAAATATAAGATATATTATAATAAAAATGAGAACAAAGAAATAAATACAATACTAGACGTTTCGGGCTGCAACCTGGCCATCTTCAGTAGTAGAATCGCAAAAATATCAAAAAAGCCATGGGTGGATGGAACAATGATCACTCTCACCGTCATCAATCAAGTCCACATGGTTTGTACATGGTACGTCATGTGTAATTGAAAGGATGCAAATTCTAAGTAACAAGTAAAACAAGCAATGTACAATATGTGATTGAAGACAGTAAAGAAAGAGAAAACTCCACATCCATGGTATAATGACAACGATCCGAACAACTATATAGTTAATTAAAAACTGTCAGTGTCAAAAATGTGTAAAATATTGGTCAAAAATAAAAATTAGACGTTGACATTATGGTGATCAGAACATAAGTGAAATAAGATTTTAAATAAGTACCAACGGTGAGAAGTAAATCGATTATCTGGAAGTAAACATCGATAATAGAAATAGGATAATGTTGTTAGAAAGACGAGGGTGCAAGCGCAACAATCATAGAAAACAATCGATATATAAACAATCAATCAACGCACATGAAAAATATCGAAGTAAAAAGAGATCTAACTTTTTTGTTGATATTTTTGCGATTCTACTACTGAAAATGGCCCCGTTGCAGGCCGAAACGTCTAATATTGTATTTATTTTTTTGTTCTCATTTTTATTATAATATATCTTATATTTTATCGCACCAACAACAGCGAGTGTACTCTCATTCTTTTATTCTTGTTATTTGAAATTTTCGAAAGTCTATTTCTTATTGATTTGATGATTATATTTTTTGACGTTACAACATATTCAAATGTCTCGAATCATTTAAATATTGATCCATCTTCTAGAGATTGCATAGAATATTTACTTACTTGTTGATTCGCAATGATAAGAATCGGCATTGCAGCAACTGTAAGAATTATTAATACAACATATAATGGAAGTATTGTTGTAGAATCAATTAATTGAAGTATAAACACTTCGCATCATGCATGAAATGTTTGAATTAATTGTCTTACTCAGCAATATGAAAAATAACATTTTGTTAAAGTTTGCCTGATCAAAGACCGCCAATTATCGATGTTATAAGATATTTTATATATATATCTAATGTAACGTAAAATGAAGTTTGACGTTCTACTGTTTGGCAAAATAATGTTGCACTCTCTTTTATAGAACCAATTGCCAATCGATAGTTATATTCGTAAAACATGTAAGAGTATGGTAACAAAAATTGCTCTATTTAACGATACAATATTCATTACATGCTAATCTTCAAACTTTTTGTGTGTGTGTGTATGTGTGTGTGTGTGTGTGTGTGTGTACATACACAGTGTATTTCATTTTTATCACCCCAACCAAATATTTCGAAAAATGTGGAAGATACGAAAAAATGTTTCAGATAAAAGTTGTGTAGTTTCGACATAAGACAGTGCCATTAATTTAACATTGAATAATTGGATGAATGCTTCATAAAAATCACTTTCTTTTTCTTAAATGAAACGTCCCATTTTTTATTTTATTTTCTTGTAGATTACTTCGAAAGCTTTCCAAAACACTATAATAAAATATTTTTTCGTTAAATACTTTTCGAGTTATAAGGCTTGAAAGTTACCGTAACGCTGTCATTAACATTAGCTAAGGTATTCAGCGGACGGTTAAAACTTCTTGAAAGTTTTTCTGGATCATGGTCTGGATTACTACACCTAATATTTATCAATGAAGGTTGTAACTATTATTTTCATTTTTGCATAAAAAATTCACCTTAAATAAAAATGAATTTATATAAAAATTCATTTTACACACACACATAAAAATGAATTTTCATCCAAAATAACATGCAAGATGCTTTATCCGTCCATTGAACATCTTGGATAATGTTAATGTCAGCGGTACTGTAACTTTTAAACTCATTCTACATTGTACTTTTTGTTTCCTGTTTTTTGTAGTTTGCCTTTTGTCCTCTTGATTAAAAAGACAAGAGACGAACAGAGACAAACGTAGAATAAGCCTTGAGCTTTACAACTCGAAAATTACTTAATGAAAAAATATTTTATTATAGAAATTTGGAAAGCTCTTGAGGTAATTTACAATACAAAAAATGAAAAATGAGATGTTTCATTAAAGAAATTAAAAGTAATCTTTATGTGACCTTCGTACAATTATTCCAGATCAATTAGTGGCACTGTCTTATGTCCCCCTTGAAACTGTACTACTTTATCTGATAAATAAAGTAGTATCATAAAGCACATTTACACAATTTATTTGAGATTGATAATATTAATGCTAAATCCATTCACAAAGTAAAAATATTAAAATAAAAACCTAATAAACTATTGTTTTCTGCGTTAAAAAGCAGATAAATATTACGTGCTAAACTTAGTTTCCGCATTTCACATTTAGATGATACTAGCTGTATAATTTCACATCTGAAACTGGCTGCATTTCAGAGATTAGACATTTGTCAACAAAATTTTGTGCGAAAAGATTCATTTAAGCGAATAGTGCTATTTCTTTTATTAAAAAATTTGGAATGTAATTAATTATTTTTTCGACATGTATTGCTTCATTATTTTGAATAGAAAAAACTACAGCTGCTGCTTATAAATTGCTTGTCAAAGCTTATGCTCCATCGGAAAGAACATGTCAAGAATGGTTTCAGCGATTTAAAAGTGATGATTATGATGTGAATGATAAACTTTGCTCAGGTCAACCGAAAAAGTTTGAAGATGCCGCGAATTGCAAACATTATTGGACGAAAACTCAACTCAAACGCTCCAACAATTGTCTGCAGTATTCAACGTTACTCCAATGTCTTTCCAAACGTCTACATGTAATGGGAAAGATTCAAAAGGATGAAAAATGGGTATCACACGACTTAACCGAAAATTGCAAATCGCTTAAACATCTTCATTTCTCTGCTCGCCAGATAGAAAAAACAGTTTTTTGTGACGTATTGTGACCGGCGACAAAAAGTAAATATATTTTGACAATCCCAAACGCAAAATGTCATTGATGGATACCGGTCAACCATCAACATCTACATCAAAGCGAAATATCCATGGCCACAAAGCAATGTTCTACATTTGATGGGATATGCAAGGCGTCGTTTACTACGAGCTACTCAAACCAAACGAAAGTATCACGGGGGATCGATATCAATTACAATTGAACTGTCTGAATAAAGCATTGTTAGAAAAAACGCCAGCAGTAGCCAGCAATCGACGCAAAGTTATGCTTTTGCACGACAGCGCTCGACAACACGTTGCAAAAGCTGTCAAGGAAACAATGATGAAGCTTGAGTGGGAAGTTCTCCCACACTCAGAGTATTCACTTATCTCCTTCAGATTATTACTTGTTTCGATCGATGCAGCACGGCTTGGTGGATATGCACTTCAGAAATTACTAGGATGTGCGAAAATAAATCGACGAATGGATTGCTTCAAAAGATCAATCGTTTTATCACGGAATCCACTTATTGCCCGAAAGATGGAAAGAATATATAGCTAGTGAGGGCAAATACTTTGATTGACGTATTTTTGCTTTTGATATCGAGAAAATTAGTTTTTTAAGCAAAAAAAACCGCGGAAACTAAGTTTACTACGTATATATTTAATATGTGTGTTTATTATACATACATTACAGATTGTTTAAATATGTTTATTTTTCTTACATTTGTCAATTTTTATTAAAACATTTATATGACAAATTGTATTTCAATGAAAACCATGTATTATTCTGTTGCACCTTCTTGACACATTCCAAGATGTTTCATTGTTACATCTGTAAACATAAAATATTGAATGTTGAGTAATTTAAGTACATGGTGAGTTAAGTTCATCACCCAGTGAGAAACGACAATGGAATCGACGTGGATTTGATGATGTCGAATCGGTATCAATTCGATGTCGAGATTCCATTGTCATTTCTCATTGGCCAATAACATTAATTGTCTTTATGTTCTGATTATATATAAGATTTTTTTATCATTTTATATATTTTTTAATGCAGATATTATTGAATGCGTAAATATGACTGGTAAATTAATATTTACTAATGTATTATTCATGCCGGAATTGAGAATATTGAAAGAATTATTCTCCATTCATCTTTTGTGTAAAATAGAACCTTCTTTTGTAATCTTAATTCTCTTTATCTATTTAATTGTTTCATAAATATAAATATAATGAATGATGATACTAATTGACTCGTGTGATGAAAATCAGAGGAAGTGAATTGCCTAATCGAGTCTTGTACACAGTATGTTGGTGTGTGTTGATACGATTGATTTATTTGTACCGTTTTTTCTTATGTTTGATCCTCGGTTTGGATTCTTTAATAAGAAATTCTAATATTATAAAATCCTTGTGCTACATAGTACAATGCTACAATATCAGGAGTAACAAATTAAAACCGTTCTTATATTTGAAAGTAATGATAAATGAAAATATGTGAAAGATAAAAATATAAATAATGTAACTTTGAAGATTTAAGCAATAATTATAATAATATTATAATAGAGATGAGTTAAAAAAAAGGATATCTTTGTCTTGTTGAAAGACATTAAAGCAACCAATTTGACTGCTCTAGTGATGAACCAAAAAATGTCTTTCAAATCATTGTTACATTAATAGAAATCTTGGTTCGTATCATTTTTGCACCTTTCATATAAAAAATAAGTAACTGCTAAATATTATAAAATTATAATGAAGTATTTTACCCTTCTCACAAGTTTGTGCGCACGATAGTTTTCCTGAATTACCATAAGTAACTCCGTCTGTACCACAAACAGGATGGTAAGCAGCTGCTGACTATTAAAAGAATGCGATTATAAGTTTAATATTAAATTATTTTTTAGAAAGAGATGCAAAAGATTTTGAATAAAATAATTATAGTCATACAGGGCAGTTTTCCATGCATTCATCGAATAGTGTAGGTTGGTAAGTCATTAGACGGGATGCAATGTCACTTTCCTCTTCATTGAATTGATCATAAGCCTGGATTCCCCATTGAATATCACGTAACATTGGACTGACCTGATGTACCGGATCTAGAACCTCTGGGATAGGTAGCTGTAACGTTTATCACGTGAATCACACTTTCAAATATTAAATTCCCGATTTTTCTTCAAAGATATTACGATATTGATTTCAGAACACTAAAATATTAAAATTAAACACAGTATATATGCAAACTTTTCATTCCAATTTTTTTTACATAAAAGGTTAAAACAAAAATATCATCGTTATATACATCGTTGTATACAAAAAATATTAATTATTAAAACTGAGACGATCCATGAATATAATGATATGCCTACGTCATAGTTTGTCTTTTCTGAAATCGCATAGAATATTTACTTACTTCTTGATTCGCGATAAGTATCGGCATTGCAGCAACTGTAAGAATTATTAATACAACATAGAAATATTGATATTGATTCAATTAATTGATGCATAAACAGTTCGCATCACGCATGAAATATTTGAAATAATTGTCTTACTCAGCAACATGAAAAATAACATTTTGTTAAAATTTGCCTGATCAACGACAGCCAGTTACCGATGTTATAAGATATTTCGTACGTTATAATCTAACGTGAACAGATTCGACGTTCTACTGTTTGGCAATATCATGTTGCACTCCCTTTTATAGAATTGCCACACACACACACACACATACACAATCGGTAGTTATATTTATAAAATATATAAGCGAATGGTAAACAAAAAAATAGCTCAATATATAATGGTAAACTACTTATTGCTAATTTTCAAACTTTGTGTGTGTGTGTGTGTGTGTGTGTGTGTGTGTGTGTGTGTGTGTGTAACAATTGCAGACTTTGAAATATTAAAAGGAATTTTAATGTACATATATGTATAATACAAACAATATTGAAAAATTTTTTAAATATTTACGCTATATTAATAATTATGGCTTTTTAAGGGAATACCAAAGACAATTAGTCATGTTGGGAATAACACTTACACATAGATGGTTACGTTTCGCTGATACATCACTACATCGATATCTCACTCACGCATGCTACACATATACATAAATTTTCGTATCAAAATTACGTTTTAATTAAACATCTAAATCCAATTTTAGGAACCCGACGCTATTTCTTCAAACTAGTTGCTTGTGGACTACTATTTCGTAATTACAGATCGTATAGCTTCTATATGAACTAAACGTTGTCACGATGTGTAACGACGTGATAGCTCTGGAGCGCCATATGAACTAAGAAATGATAAAGTGGAACTCAATTTCGAAATTTTTTGTCGTTTTCAGCATAGATTCTACATCATAGGCAGATATTAATACGTATACTTTAATTCTTGGAGAGGATTTTCGAATCTGTGAATGATAAAAAAAAGTATTTACAAAATTATATGGTTTAGTCAATAATACAGACAACTTTAGGATCTCCTTAAGGTGATGCTGGATCCGCCATTATTATCGATGAACAGATTTTTTTTTACAATTAAAATATTACATATATCAAGAAAATATTTGCATATTATACATTAAGTAAAACGTTAAGTTCATTAAGTAAACCATTAAATAAAACGCGGCGTTACGTACATTTCTTGTTTTGTTATATTTTATATATCGCTTGAGTATGAGATTATGTACACTCAAATCGTATTTCTCTTGCCATTTTTCTTGTCAGTTTCAAAATCATAATTTGAAGGTCTCTTGATACTCTTATAAATGAGTCAAGTATAGGAAAGTATTTTTTGTTTGAATATATGCTTGCATTCGTTCTTATACAGGGTGTCTCACAACTACCGCCTATTTCTTAAAGGACGTATTTTGAGATTATTTTATGACATCTTAATACAAAAACGTCGAGGCTATAATAGTTCTTAAATTAATCGCAATTTCACTAATCACTGAGCTGATATTTGCCCGCTCAGAGGCACGACGATATGACAAATGGTGATATACCATAAGTGCTCCGTTAACATGCAATATTTTTCAGAAAGTTGTTTGAAAAATATTTGTATACTTTTAATTTTTAAGTATATATATATATATACACACGTTTGTATAATTTATATGCATAATTAATATCGGAATCGTATATCGTGAAATATCAATCAATTCAACAGCATGATATTACGATGTGTATTATATCTGTCAAGATAAATTCGTAATTATGTTCATTTGTCTCGTATGGTAAACATTTTTGTCATATCGTCATACCTGAGCGCACGAAATATCAGCTCCTTGATTAGTGAAATTTAGTTGCAATTTAACAACTATTATAGCCTCGATATTTTTATATTAAAATTCTCATCATAAAATTATCTCAAAAATACGTCTTTTAAAAGCGGTTATTATGAGACACCTTGTATATGTGAAGAAAGAGAAAACTTACATTATAACAGAAGACTGTAGGTAATTTACAATTTTTTGAGGATTCTCATACCGGTTTGTACTTTTCCGCATTTATTTGTGTTTTTCTGGAGAAGGAATTTTTATTCTGTATAAGAAAAACGAAATGGCATGAGAAATACGAAATAGGTTCCGTCGATAACTCTAGCGAGGACTGGAGGCCGGTTTTTAAAAAAGGGCGCCAAAGAAATTGACCGCAACATATAATGTCAATACAATGACTAGGTAGATAGTGGAATTAATAAATATTCCACGTGAGTAAGAAGAACTGGAGATAATTAATACGAATACGAAGCCTAATAACAGTCTGGCTTGGATTTTAGTTGTATATAATTTCGCGTGAGTTTATATACTGATATATGTAGTCTTTTATGGAGTCTTTTTAAACTGCGCACCGAACAATTGTCGGTTGAAACGCAACTTTAATAAATTACCGCAGTACAATCAAGCACTATGGACATATCTTGTCCAGAATGTCCCATCGCACCTGTTTTCATCAAAATAACTTTTTTACCGTGTGAATTTTTCGTTTAATAAATAATAAGATATATTGTTAATTAATTAATTTTTTTGTACATATGAGTAGGGCTGAATAATACAGCTGAAACATGTAATGTTAATTTAAGTAAAGTTTTCTTTGTTTGTGTATCATTGTTTTTTATTCGAAATTTATGAAAGTGTTTCTAATTATTAGACTCTTAGTAGTCCACTTTAATTACATAATTGTCTTTTTGAAATTGAGAGTCTCTTGGACTTAAATTTTATTGTAATATTTTAATCTGCGCGGAATTTTAAAACGTATTATTGCCAATACTCGGGCGTGCCGTAACAGGACTCGCAGGTCTATTCTGTAACTGTTAACGCAAGTTTTGTTATCGTTAAAACGTCGTTGCGCAATTCTTTTATCTTTTGCTAAAAAAAGCTGCACAATGACTTATAACGATAAGAAAACTTGTGTTAATAGTTACAGAATAATCCTACTGGACGTAAAGCATTTTTTATATTTTCGGTCGTTTTTGTGAGAAATTAGATTTACTCGATCATTGTTTTTTTATGAGAAGAGATGTGACAGTAACGTCGATGGGTGTTTCGTATGCCGAGCGTTTGCGTATATTGTCGATATAATCTAAATCCCTGTCTATTGCATTTCGACAGCACAATCAGTCTAATGCCCGTATTAAACTAGCGATTGGAGATTGCGTTTGCATTCGCGTTTGCGCCTACTATTGTCTTTTGATCAATTAGAAAAGAGACATTGGCGATTGCGATTAGCGATTTCCATTTAGATATCTGTCTATTTTTCGTAATTCTATTAGACCAAAACACAACTAATCACAAAACGGTTTTGTAGTCATGTGACTAGTTCATGTATGGAAACACGAAAATAGAAAACAATCTCTTGAAAAAAATATGAAATATATAAAATGTAAACAGAAATTAATGATTTTTGCAAGTATAAAAATAATTTAAATTTTTTTTATAGTTTTTCTGCACCTGCGTTGCAAAAAATATTTAATGAAATGTAATCGTTATTCGTCGATAGTGTGATTGAAAAACGTCTAATTGCAAACGCAAACGCAGACGCAATTTCCAATCGCTAGTGCGATACCGACATTAGAACATTGGAATTACTTCGCTATATTTACCAGACCTATGATCTACGTATACAAGAAGCAAAGTCTTATTTAAACGATGTAAACGTTTATAGCGCTGATAATTTTACACACTATATATGAAAAGAACTAACAATTAGCTATATATATCAACATTAACAATTTATATACTATAAAGCACATTTACATAATTTATTTGAGATTGATAATATTAATTCTAAACCATTCAAAATGAAAAAATTAAAATAAAAAAACAAATAATCTATTGTTTTTTATAATACAAACAAATTTAAATATAATTAAAAATTCCACACAGATAAACTTCAATCCAATCCAATCCAAAAAATAAGGAAAAGCCAATGCGAGTCAGATACAAGTTGTCAGTGTATAGTATTGCAAATATGTTAAAATTCTTGATACGTACAGATTAGCTTCAACCTAGGTTTGATCCTTATTTGGGTCCATTTCAAGTTACAAATAATTGATGTGCTTTCTATCAAAAATTTTAATATATGTAATACCACACTGGCCTAGTTTACACCCAACGACCTGACCTATACCCTGACCTTTATCTTACCTGAGAGAAGTCTTAAACGGAGCGTTTACCCCATATAGACCTATAATATTTTTGGGCCTAATGTATGTCGCATTTAGTCTCACTTGAGTGCCATCTTTTGAACAAAATAAAGGTATTCTTAGTACACTTTACGCCTTTAAGCCGTCTGTCTGCATTTACATGCGTTAAAGCTAGTTAGATCGTGCGGCCTAAGAGAGGTCAGGGATCTTGAAAAAGATCCCTCACCTAAGCGAGGTTACAACTATTTACACCGTCGCGATCTGTCGTGTTAGATTAGATTTAGAGTATAAGCGGCGGCCTAATCGTAGGGTGTAAACTAGATCACTGACAACTTGTGTTTGGCTCACTATTGTTTTTTGTTATAAAACAGATAAATATATTTAATACGTGTATTATACATTATGGACTGTTTAAATATGTTTACTTTTCTTACATTTACTAATTTTTATTAAAACATTTATTATGACAAATTGTATTATAATGAAAATCATATTATATGTTATTCAGTTGCACTTTCTGTACAGTTTCCACGATGTTTTATTGTTATCTCTGTAAACATAAAATATTGAATATTGAATATTTCAAGCACATTGTTTGCAGTTGTATTAATTATGTTATATCCTGATTATATAGAGACTGTTTTGAATTAGATTTTTGTATCATTTATATATATTTTTTTTTCAAATATTATTAAATGCGTAAATATGACTGATAAATTAATATTTGCTAATTATCCATCGTGTGTGTAAAATAGAAACTTTTTTTTGTAATTTTAGTTTCCTTTTTTTATTTACATATTATAGTATCTCTTTATCACTTTAATTGTTTTAAAAATATAATTAGTTTAAAGATAATAAAGATGAGTTAAAAGAATCTTTTTGTTCAAAAATATTAAAATTAGTTTCACTGTTTTAGTGATAAATTAAAAAATGTCTTTGAGATCTTTGTTACATTAATAGAAAGCTCGGTATATGTTATTACCACGCACGTACCTTTCATATAAAAAATAAGTAACTGTTAAATATAATAAAATTTTAATGAAGAATCTTACCTTTCCCACAACATTGCGCGCATTTTAGTCCCGATTTATTGACATAAGTAACTTCGTCTGTACCACAAATAGGATCGTAAAGCAATATTATCTGTCAAAAGAATGTTGTTATAATAAGTTTATTAATATTAAATTATTTTTCAGAAAGAGACGTAAAAGATTTTTAATAAAAAAATTATAGTTATACAGGGCAGCTTCCCATGCATTTATCGAATTGCTCATTGTAGTTACAGATTGGACGGGATGTAACTTCACTTTCTTGTCCATTGAATTGCCCATAAGCCATTGGACTGTTATTATCTACCTGAACTATCTCCATTGTATCATCCGAATTCTATAACGTTTATCAAATTAATATTTCAAATATTAGACTCCCGATTTTTTTCAAAAATATTACGATATTGATTTCAGAATATTCAAATAAATATTAAAATTAAATATAGTATATGCAAACATTTCATTATAATTTTTGTTCACATACCTAGAACATCTAAAATAAAAATATCGTTGAACACAGAAAATGCGTTAATTATTAAAAATTCAAAAGATTCTCCAAGGTTATGATATTCCTGCGTCATAGTTTATTTAGTATAGAATATGATTATATTTTGTACAACATGATTATATTTTTTACAATGACGTTACAACATATTCAAACGTCTTGAATCTTTTAAATATTTATTCGTTTGTCTTCTAGAGATCGCATAAGATATTTACTTACTTGTTGAATCGCAATGATAAGAAACGGCGATGCAGCAACTGTAAGAATTATCAATATAGCATAATAGAGATATTCTATTATAGAATCATTTAATTGGTACATAAAAAATTCGCATCATACATGAAATACTTGAAATAATTTTCTTACTTAGCAACAAGTAAAATAACATTTTGTTAAAGTTTGTTTGATCAACACTCGTCAATTATGGATGTTATAAATTATTTTATGTTTAATCCAACGTAAACAGAAGTTTGACGTTCTACTGTTTGGCAAAATAATGTTGCACTCTCTTTTATAGAACCAATTGCTAATTGATAGTTATATTCGTAAAACATGTAAGTATGTGATAAACTAAAAAATAGCTCAATATATAATGGTGAACTACTTATTGCTAATTTTCAAACTTTATGTAACAATAGGGGCCTTGAAATATTAAACGGTATCATAGTACTTAATATAAAATACTATAAAACAATATTTTAAAATTTTTACAACATTTATGCGATATTAATAACTGTGGTTTTTTAATAAGTCAATTTTAATAAACTGTTATTTTATTTGTTGCTGAGTAAAAAAATTATTTCAGTCGTGTTTTGTGTATAATGCGAAATATTATGCTTACGGGTATGTATCAATTAATTGATTCTAAAATATCTCCATTGTGTTGTATATTGTTTAATTCTTCTAATTGCAGCATTGCTCTTTTTTATATCACTGTAATTTCAATTTCTTGCAAATTTTTAACCGAATGTTATTGTAACTATTAATATCAAAATAAATACGTTAATAAATATATACTAGGTAATAGTTGTATATAAGTCTATAACATTTAACATTGGTTTTGTCACTGTATAAACAAAAAATAATAATAATAAAGGAAAGAGATGGAATAAAATGAACGTCACACAATTTTTTTATTTGCATTAAAAATATCGTAATTACCTTTATGTACATATTTATTAATTACACAGAAACGATGCTATGTAACCGTGTAATAGTATACAATAAAACTTTGTCAATCATCTGTTCTATTGACAGGTGGTCGTTGTTGAGTCACGAAAGGGGAATAACACCACTAGTTTTTAGTTTATAGAACACACACACACACATGCGCGCGCGCGCGCACATCGATGTATCGGGATTGGTATTTATAGGATCAGCGTCACAACATATGTAAGTGTATAAATGGATCTGCTTTTCTGCAAATTGCAAGATCTAGCTGCATTCAAATAGAATTTAACTTGTACGTGTTGGTATAGCAAAGGCTAGCTGTTGTTCCTATGCGGAACTTCAGTATATATATATTATTACCTTACTTGAATGTGACATTATCGAGACTGTATGTAAAACAAATATTCGTTGTATTTTCTGGCATTTTCTGCCGTTTTTGTGAGATTGAGCCGATTCATTTTGGTTTTTAGTACGAGGCGAGATGTGACGCAGCTTGAATGATTCTATATATGCCAATGCATTTCAATAATACAATTAATCTTACAGTTAACTTGATAGTTACAAGATCTAATAAAGTTTAAGAAGCAAAAGTTTAGTCTATACTGTATGTTTTTAATGTGGATAATTATGCAAATGTTGGCTACAAAATTTCAAGATCAAAAGTATAATACATATATAATAAGCTCATAATTCAAATAATAAACGAAAAGATGGATTCCCATTCAACATCAATAAAATTCATAAAAATTATTATTAGACGGAAAATCCCGCGCAATAATCGAAAATATTTACTTATTTTACACTATACACATATTGATCGTTATTTCCTTATTAAACTTTGTTACTGTTAGCATTATTGTCTTACATTTTTCGCACTGTCACAATAAAATAAGAGCGGTTCAATACGACAACAATGACATATCATTATTCTACTGCAGAATCTTCAAAAGGATGGATATAAGTATAAAAGTGAAAAAGATGTTACGATTGGAAAAATATGGAAAGTTGTGGCGGTGTATTTTTTGGAGAAAAAAATAACAAAATTAAAACTAATAATAAAGTAAATAAATATAATAGTGAACACAACAATAGTAACTCCCAAAATTCAATAATAACAAATAATTAATGAAGGATATTACAATTCTCAAAGGAATAGCGACTCTAAAGAATAGCAATTCAATAAATCTAACATTGTAACAATGAAAATTGCCATTCTAAAATGTATACATACATTATATATTATATAAATGTTTTTCTTATGTTTATCAGTATTTTATTAAAACATTTATTGAATTGTATTGCATTAATATAAATTATTTGTTATCCAGTTCGGCCTGTTGAACAGCGTCCATAATAATTTAATATCACGTCTGTAAAATTAAAATACAATATTATATAAAAGTGATTATAAGGCTCTATATAAAACAGTATAAATATAATAAGGGTAAAGAATAATTTAACTTGTATATATTTAACTTATAATAATTTTGTACTTTATATTTTATGTAACATTGAAAATGACCCTATCGGTGTCGAAATGTTTGTTATTGTAATGTTAATATCATGAATATTTAAATTAAAGTTGTTCGTTAAATTTTAGTTGGCTCTTTGTCCTTATTATATTTATACAATATACACTACACAACAAAATTATCGCAATAAAATTTTTCATCGAAATTTTGCCATTTTTCAAATGCGCATAACTCGGTCAATTTTCATCGTATGATTATTAAGACGTTTTTTTTTTGACCGAGTTATGCGCATTTGAAAAATGGCAAAATTTCGATGAAAAATTTTGTTGCGATAATTTTGTTGCGTAGTGTATTATATATTAAGCATTCCAATATGTTTATAATTGTACTATTTTATACACATGCACACACACACACATACACTGTAATTATATATATTATATTGTATATATAAATTTTATATACATGCATATTTTATAGAAAAATGATTATTAAACGTATAAGTATATATATCCAGTAAATATATTTGCTATTGCAAAATTGATTAGTGCTTAAACAATCGAAAATATTTAAGAGAAATTAATTCTATTTTATTGATATAAAAAGGGAAAACTTTCTTATCTAGATTTAGCTTTTTCCCTCAGTGTATATAAATTTAAATATAATGTAAGCTGTACATTAATATGCTCAATTTACAAAATAAATATATTTTAATAATTGCTTCAAGGATGTAAGTAATATAATAATAATGAAGCTAAATGAAAAGAACTAATAAAAGCAACCAAAGGTTGTGTATGCCAGTTAGTGAACATGATTCAATTATTGGATTAAATAACAAAAATTAAACATTAATTAATTATTTTAAATATAAAAATTTTAATGATATATACGACTCTAAATAGTCTAAATATATTTATTTTTAATAAATTTATAAATAACAAATTTATTTAGAGTTGTACATATTATTAAAAGCCTAACATTAAAAAATTTTATTGTTTCGCCCAATAATTGGGTCATGTTCGTTAACTGCTTATTTAGTTATTACCAGTGTTTTTCGTTATCTCGATAAAATTATCTAGATAATCATCTAGAAATGGTTTTATCTTATCTTCATCTAGATTATTAAGAATATAGATTATCTTTATCTTATCTTAGATAAAAGAAATGTTATCTTTTTCAAATTATTTAAGATTGTACAAGAGTATTATAAGAAATTAATTTCCAGTAGTAGTAGTAGCAATGAATTTTTTTCGTTTTACAGACAAAAAAGTGAGATTAGTGCGACACTAGTCATTAAAAAATATTTATATTGAAATACTTTTACATTTATAAAATAAATCTAAGGAAATAGATATTCTTTATTTGTATCCACAAGTAAAATAAATTTTTTTAAGTAATATATACTAAGTATTACACTATAATTAGATACATTTACGTTTTAAAAAATATTAAACAACTAGTTTCTAGATTTTTAGTATTAAAGTGAAAGAGTTCGAGATTATTGCTCTTTGAAATTATTGTCATTGTAATAGAAAGGTTTTATATTGTAACTACGCATATATCTTTCATGTAACAAAGTAAATACGTTAAATAAAACGTCATAAAATTTTTATAAAGTATTTCACCTTTTCCACAACGTTGCGCGCAGCCTAGATTTCCTGGGTTAACGTAATGGACGTTGTCCGTACCACAAACAGGATTGTATTCGTTCGTCACCTATGATAAAAATGCCATTTACACACACAAAGAGAGATTTAATATTAAGATTATTTTTCAAAAATAGATGTAAAATTTATTTAAAAAAATTTTCTCTTGGTTTAAAAATTGTTTTGAATAAAGTCACGTTGTTTTTAGTAAGACAAGAATTATAATTACCGGACAGTTTATTATGCATGCGTTATATACATTGTTAAGCAGAACAGATGCGACTGTTGTTGTGGATGTCGAAGTAATTCCTTGTTTTCCATTAGATTCGGAAGCCACTGGACCGTCAAAGATAAAGCCATCTACTTGAGCCATCTCCATGCCAGGTGCGTTATCCAAATTCTATGATATACACATATACATTTACTGAATCACACTCCAAATATTAGATCCTCGTCGCTTTTATATACACAAAATACAGAAATATTATTTTCAACAAAATTATACAGATAACTTTACAATATTAGTCAGCACATTAAAATATAAACAAGTATAAGTAAGTACAATCATTTCTTGTTTTATCTCATTATTCATAAAGCGTGTAAAATAAAGATATTATCGTTATATAAAGGAAATTCTAATAATTAAGAATTAATCGACCCACAAACGTCATGATATGTCTATGTCATCACTTAATTATTGTGCTTACAATTAGTATAAGACATAAATATACTTCTTGACAACGTAAGCAAATATCTATAATTATTTAAATATTTTCTCCTATAAAATAACATATAAAGGAATATTTACTTACTTGTGGAAACGCGGTGATAACGAACGGCGATGCAGCAACTATAAAAATTATTCAACATGATTGAGATATTAGTGCTAATTGGTGTATATATATAAGAATAACACTTCGCGTCACATATAAAATATTTAAAATAGTTTGCTTACTTAACAATAAATAGAACAACATTTTGTTAAAATTTGTTTGATAAGAGATTAGTAATCGACGTTGTATGATCCAAGACATCCAAGATGATACGAACATAAGTTCGAGGATCTACTGTTTGGCATCATTAGTTGCGCTTCCTCTTATAGAATCGGTTGCCATCCAACGGTTCTATGCGCAAGTATAAGCGAATAGGAATTCCCCAATATAATGATATGTGTATTTACTGTATAATAATTCACTGTATAATAATTTTCAAATTTTTTGTGAAAATATAAGATTAAAAATTAATAAAAATGTATATATCATTACAATATAAAAGATGTTTTAAAATTAAAATAACATGCAACATTCAAATTCTTTTTTTAACAAAAGTTATAAAAACAATAATGTTGAAATATTGCACAAGAATTTTTATCAGTATATTTAAATAAATAAAACTCTTAAAAAAAATTTGTCATAGTTTATTCGGATTGTCACGTTTCACCAAGTGAGCATTCATTTGTCAGTTTTATTCTTATTAATTTACGCACATATGCACAAGAATATTAATAGTGTTTGACATAATTATTACATATTATTTTTTTGCAGTCGCGTTATTCGCAACTACAATAGTTGAATAGAATTGAGTCGATCATCTTGCAGCGTTTTAAAACTAAAAATTAAGAGAGAGAGAGAGAGAGAGAGAGAGTTGTTATAATGACATATATTCATACTGTTGTAATTAATAATTTAATAGTCTCAGTAATATTAAAATATAGTAGATAAGTAAATATTCATATAATGTGGAGTATTAATTAATTCTTAATTTAATGTAATGTAAATGTTACATTTTAATTTAATATAATTATAGTAGAAATATACTTTAATGTATATACAATGTATAAACTTAATATAAGCATGTATAAATATTCAATAAGTCGTAGTTTTTTTACATAACGTAATAGCAATTACAAGTAAAAAATGCATACGTTCAAAATGTAATGGAGTACATACATAAAACATTACTAATATATGAAGTTTGCGAAATGTTGATGGTTAAGAATTAATGGTTTTCGATCGCATATCAGAAATTTCCTATAATGGACGTTGTATATAAGTCTGTAACATTCAAAACGTGACAGTTTTATTGCTTGTTTGTACAAACAAAAGATAATAATAACACAAAAAGATAAAACGTTACACATTAAAAATTAATATTTATCTTTACCTATATGTATCAGGTTTATCATCATATGGAAGTGATGGCAGACCACATGGTATTTAATTACTGCTCAGCTGGCTGTATGGTTCGCAAGCCCTGATCACTCTTATCTCAAGTTCTAAAAAAATACTTAGCTTTATTAGATATAATTTATTCGTCGAAATGAGAAATGATAAATGATTAATAAACAAATAGAAATAGAAGTAATGAAGAGAAGATTTATAAAAATTTAGGTTAAGAAAGAGTTTAAGTAAATTTAATGTAATAACGAAAAAAGAACAATAATATTGGAGTAATGTAGTACTTACGTGGATTGCAATTTTTCGCGCAATTAAATCTTCCTATATTCCAGTAGGTTACGTTATCGGTGCCGCATACCGGATTGTATTCAGCAGTCGCGATACATGGACAATTATTAGTATTATTATTAGTATTATTATTAGTATTATTATTTATTGTCCCTTGCGTGGTGCTACTAGGCGTGCTGCTGTTCGTTTCATCATTATTATTAAATGTTATAGAGTCATCAACGACGTTGCCTGACCAGTCTCTTTGCGGGAATGCCAAGGCGACCAACCAAATCAGGGTCAATACTTGCACAACTATCGAGTAAAATTATAAAACGACGTGTCATGACGTGCATATGCACATTTTATATATATAACGCAAATTTTCAGACAAATTTAGAAATCTCGAAAAATATCAAGCAAATAAGAGAGCTTAAGAAATATCTCTCAGTCTTTTCTTTAAATATTTGAAGACACATACACTTAACAAAATATCGGAAGTGTGTTATTCAAATTCAAACGTATAGGATGTTATTCTAAATCCAAAATAAATAGACTTTTGTTGTCTTATAAATTAAAAAAAAAAATAATCAAGAGCTATATTCTTTGTTACACTGTACTCACGTGCAAAAATATATTTCATGATTGTATCCGTGCGATATATCGAATCCAAGTTCAAAGACAAGCAGACATTAAATTAAAACGTCTTAATGATACTTGAAAGAACGACCAAATGACTGTCTTTAGCAAGTTGCTTTTCGATTTATATTAGTTGTCCACTCTTATCTGTTTCCAACTTGTTTCCTTATACAGGAAAAAACCAGTACGAGACAAGCAGTCGGGGATATCCATGTTGCGTACATACGTGTTGCATTAACAGTGATTTCACGCATATAATGACCAAGTCGTTTACGGGGCGTCCCGTTTTTATCTCGTTCAAATTGCTGTCGAAAAAGAAACTGGAATTTGTGTTTATTCCTGATTCTCGATTAACTAGCCAACTTATATACATAAATTCTTATATATATTCAATCACATAATACGCACAAAATCATTGCGATCTTATTGCATCTTGTTAACTGCAACATATTCCACCTTTAAACTGCATAATTTTGAATAATCCAGTCTTTGGTTTGCTGTCACATAATAAACGATCATTTTACAGAACATTATAATTTTATTTCGTAGGAATATTGTAAGAGATGAAATAACAGCGTTTTCGCAGAATAAGTGAAAAATGCATGATCCTCTCTTTATCATTATGAATATATCTATATAATTTCCAGGCAAGAGCTATTAACCTTGGAAATTACACGAGCATTATGAACAAATCGTTTATCTCTTTTTCACACACATTCACAGAGATATTGATTTCCCATGCACTCGTACATCATCCTACTTCCTACGTCATCTTCATGCACGAGTGAGTTCTTTAAGAGTCTAAAATACGTCAGCTCTCTTGAGCATGACGTACGTTAGAACTGAGGAAAGCTGAGAAATTATCGTAACTTGTATATTTATACAAATAATTTTTTAAATATGATAATCCCGATAAACTGTGGGTCAATAAGGCAGGTCCGTAATATATACGAAATGAAGTTGATATCGAGTGGATGCTTTTAGTACAATTAGTCTTTATCGGTCTCATTAGACATAAAGCAAGGATAACATGACACAAAAAGCTAATAACCGTCTTCCTAAATACATTCATTGTCCTGTAGTGCATAGATTCCAATCGTCTTTTTAAAAATGTAAATGTGTGCAATATGCGTGTGTAAAAAAAAAAAAGATAAATGAATTACTCATTATGTCCATGTAAAGTTACAAGGCCATTTAAAGCAAAAATCTTGTATCAATTTAATATAATTATATACATTTTGTCAAACTGGATTTCGTCTGATAAAAAATTATATATAATGAGTTGTAGGAATCATCTGCATATTCACATTTCTGACGTCATAACACGTAAATATTGACTCGGAATCGTATTTTTAATGGACAAATTAGATAAAACTTTTGAAGTAGAATCGGAATGTATAATTGTGTTCAAAGAATTCATCACTTCTTAAGTTTTATTTTAGACTTTTTGAGATTTAGTAGATTAGTGGTATCGAGAAAGATGATAAACTATTTTTGTTTATTAGATACGTGTCCCAGTTAACACTAAATATTTTTGAGAAATATTCGTAAAATGTTCTTAAAATTCCAAAATAATATTCCAAGAATATTCCGAAATATCCCGACATATTTCAGAATGTAAGAATAATATTCATATAAATTTTAAATATTAATTCATTCACGCATCGTTACATATTCAAAGAATGTTCTACATATATTCCGCAAAATTATAAATTTCCTAGAAATTCCGTGTCCGGTGGTCTCTGAAATAATTGTTTAAACGAAATTATACTGTTAAAAATACATTTTATTTACTTTCATCTTAGATACTCACTTCGCTCAAGCGAAATTGCTACGCTCTTTATGTATTCTTTCCCATATGATTCTTACTATTATTATACCTATATATATGGAAATGCATGCAATTTAATTAGCATGCTTCATCGTAGATCGGGTCACAGAATAAGATTAGACATAATATAGCTTACGCTCGCTGATAGAAAGGGGCTTTACGCGTTTACGCATAATCTTTATTTATAGCCACATCAATCAACCGAATGTAGAGCTTTACCATGCACATGTATGAAGCCGTGATTCACCCTCATAATACTCTTGAAATCATTTTATCCTTGTTGTTTATTAGTGATAAACAAGAACAAACAAATAATACAACTGTGAATATGAGTATTATTAAAAGATCGCAGCTTCATACAGCATTGTGCTATATTTTTTATTTTTATTAATATTATTAATTATTACATAGAATATATACTTCACATCGCATACATAATATATGAACTACTTATTACAGCACTGATCTCTATAAAAGAGACGTTCTATAAGGACGTTCTAGATTAGAGAATGTCTGCATGTTTTAATGAACATCGTGAGGACATTTCCAGGAAGCTTCTCGGATAAAGTGTGCTGTATAGTATATTGATCATGTTTGGAAACAATAAAAAAAAAAAAACAACGATACATGGAAATTAACTCTAAGAGGCTCATGCGGACGAGGCGATAGACGCCAATATGGCGCGGTCCGCTGATGCGCGCAACCTACATCCGCGAGTATCTACTGTGGGCGAGACTGTCGCTGTTGACGCTATTCGATAAGCCGGGCGTGAACGCGCAGGAAACGTCAAGCACGCAGCCGAGATGTCGAGGAACGACGGCAAGAAGGACACCTCGGCGTCCGCGTTCCGTAAGATCGACGTAGACCAATATAGCGACAACAATTTCAAAGAGGAGGACGCGGACGGCGGTGTAGGTGCGCCCACCGGTCCGGACGAGAACGAGATTTTGACACTTCTTAGCCAATATCCTTTTGTGATACTTTAGCGTTCCGTAGACCCTTTATTTTTCAGCAATTCCATCGTACGATTTTTCTTAACACAATTATCAAGGGTAAGAACGCGGAGGCCCTAATATCGGTATTAAAATCCGCACCGTTGGAGTGTAAGAATCAGCAAGTGAAGGTAACCTCAAACTGCAAGACGGTGATTCACCTTTTGTCATAAAGCGACTTTGATTTGCTAAATATGGAATGGCATCGTGGACTTGAAAATTGCATAAATTAATTGTGGAAAACAATCGTTATTCTAACGTAAATAGATTTAAATTTTGTGACTAAGAAGTAACTTTACTTGTGATTCACAATTAAAGGAGCATGTTATATTTTATTAATGAGAATCGCAATTTGTATAGCTTTTATCTTTATTTTATGATTTATATATGATTTAAAGAAGACTATTTGCAAATTTAGATATAGATGTTAAGAGTTTCTGTATGATTCATAAAAAAAAATATGTAGTTTTAAGCTTGACAGTCCAACATGCTTCTAATGGGTGTGTTCAATGAACAATTGAGTAAGCGCTGAGTAATTATTGACTGTGATTGAAGTAGACTCTATGGATCCATGAATAAATAAATCTAGAAGAATACCCTAATAGTGATCTGAATGCACCCAATACCATTTTATAGTATTATGTGTATTTTATTAAACATATATTTTCATATACGCAAATACATGAAACATTTTTCTATTTGCAGGACAGTGCACGAAACTTAACACAGAAGGTGCTTCTAAGTATAAAGTCGAATCAAATGGATGACTGCTTAGCACAATTAGATCGAGACTTAATAGATGTTCTAATGAAATATATTTACCGAGGTTTTGAAATCCCGACAGAAGGTAGCAGTAGTCACTTGTTACTTTGGCATGAAAAGGTATTTAATGTAAGTGGGGTCGGCTGCATTGTTCGTGTATTCTCTGACAGCAAGCGAGCTTGAAGAGTTTTATACATTTTGCAGTAACATGTTCATTATCATAATTACCATTAATTCTTACTGTTATTCATCGTCATTGTTAATGCGATGAGGATGTAGATAGGCAAGCCATTCACAATTTTCCATATGGGAAATACAACAAATTTGTGTACATTTGTTATCAATAAAGTAATTTTTATTTCTTGTACATTTGGAGCAGTAATTCCTTTCGTCATACTTCTACCGTTCTGTCCTTATTTCATTCTAAAGAGTATAAACAGAGAGATTGGTTATGAAAATTATTTAAATGAGAAAGATTCAATTTTTTCAAATGTATTTTTCACATCTTGAACTTTAAACACCAAATACTATTATGATAAATTTCAATGTTACCTTCGAATTTGTACAGGTTTTCCTCGAACTTTATACTCTTTAGAATTCTGAAGTAAAAGAAAACATATAACATATATGATATATTTTTATATAACAATAATAAGATCGTTTTCATATGTGAACATTTCTTGTATATACAATACTATTATAGACCATTACAATATGAATTGACGGTTAATATGACGTTTGAGTTGGCACCAAATAAAAGTATAAATATATAATTTGTGGAATAATATACCCCAACATCTTTATTATTTGATATATATCTATATATGTATATATATATATAACAAAAACTATAGTGCAACCGAATAACGGCAACATAATGACGTTAAATCCTCTATACCTGATATTTAGGTTCTATCATTGCTTGTATAATAGAATATATGTGAGATTAGGATGTTATGCTGATTGTAATATTTATGATTTATCTGACTCTTGTGATATTATCACATACAACACTGGAAATTCATTGTAAAACTGTTTACTCACATTTGTCCTTTACTGTGAGCATAATCATATTTGTTTGATGTATCAGGTACAGTGCACTCACAAATACTGCATTTGCTCTGTAAGAAGTATGAATTTCATTTAATTGAGATAAATGTAATATAAATGATATCGCTCATTTGTGCTACAACATGACGCAATCAAAAAGAAAACAAAAAATTTTTCAAAATATTAATTTCATATTCTAAATCATAAAAATGTTGTAATATTAGTTTTGAAATATACGATCTTGACGTAATAAAATTAATTCGAGGAGTAAAAGTATGTTTTTAAAATGGTATTTTTAGTTGCTAATTATTAGCTAACAAAATTAAATTAATTTTGTTTCGATTGATCATTTCGATACTTTGTACTTACTGTCCCTCCTTGAAGTACTCCTTTAATGTATTACTGAACCTTTTGCTATACTTTACAAATTCTCTTTTACGTTGATCTAAGGCTTGTTTACCAGTTGAACCAGG